AAAGATTAGCAGCCACACAGCATTCTTGTATGATGAGCACTTCTTTGAACACCACAATCATTTTAAAAAGCAGAAAATGTCTCTTGAAAACTGTTGCTTTGGTTCAATACAAAGGATATGATTCTTTGCTGATGTGAGATGGCATTAGTAGCAGAAGTGACTTGTGAGGCGGGATTTGCAGAATCCTGCCACAGCAGATGGACATGCATCTTTACAGCTACAGCAAGGTGAACCAGAGAGCTGTCTAATCTGAAATCTCTTCCTCTCTTCAGACCCCACACATACTGTGCTTGAGTAATATCCCTTTTTTCTGCCCCGAGAAATTCACACTTGAATTGATTTAGAGGCAAGGCATAATAGCGATGACAAATGGGATCATAACAGCCAGATACAGGATCAATGTACCTACTCATGAGGTGACAACTGGCACTGTTTTTCCCACCTTGGCACCTGGCATATTGGGAGTTTACAGCTGAGCTAAGGAGATGAATTCAGGAAGGGAATACCCAGCATGAAAGATTAGGCCGGGCTTCCCATCTGGGGAGATACACTAAGCTCAAGTCAGCACTGAATGTCATATCTTCATTCATCTTGCTGTAGAAACAACCCTGAAATGCTGATACTGAGAACTTGCAAAGTGCTGAGCCTGTGCTTTTAGGGGGATAGAAACAGAAAATTACAGCACCCTCCGTATTTTGTGACTTACTTCCCTCTGCAGAGAGATGTCTTGATGTCACATCCATAGCAGATGATGAGATTCAGCAAAGGCCTTAAAAGAAAATGTTAATTCCCGTGTCCTACAGTCCACATCCCAGCCTCAGACTGTGCAAAGAGATATTTGCCAAACCTCTGCGTTGTCTTACTGCAAAGAAGACACCAGTTGCATGAATCTGGAGACAACAGTCACCAAGGCTTCAAGAGCAGCAGGCAGCTGTAGCTCAGTGCCACCTTCCACCTGCCCTCCCTGCTCTCCTAGCCCCAAACAGGCTGGGTTTCAGGTACCTTAGCCATCGATATTTCCATAGCCTTAGGGACAAACTGATGGATAGAAATCCAGCCCAAGCACTTAGAGAAGCGCTCTCCTGGGTATCTAATAAACAAAACCCACCATTCTCACCTCATACATTCCATAGAGTCAAGAAAGTCAGTCATGGTTGGTGGTCAGTCAGGACTTGTGTCAGGCTTGTGCTTTTTTAAGTACTTGTTACTGCTCTCCTGTGCCTCTCTCCTGTGCTCAGATCCCTCTGCAATCAGCACTGCACTGCCCACACTAGGCCCTACCAAGCTACAGGCCAGGAGGTGCTGGCAATGCCGAGCTGAGCACTCCACTTTCTTCAGCAGAGCTGGAAACCTCCCAGGATCTCAAAGCAGAACCAAGCTCTGGCCTAAACTACTGAATCCTCAGGCCCAAGGCAGCCAGAGCTCCGTGTTTTTGGTTGGGCCTGTACATCCCGCCTTGGGCACTGGTTACACACACACTCAACCGTGGCCTTCACACACACGGTCTGTGATGCTCCCAGCCCTCTCCAGAGTGCCTTGTAATAGCCAGGCTGGTCTTTCTAAGACAGCTCTTCCATATTAGAGTCTAATAGGAAAAGTTTCTCGAACTTGAGGACAGCCGATGCCAGGAGAGCTCTGCTTTTGCCCAGCAGAGGCCAGCACAGACGCAGTATTCAGCAGCGTGTGCTTGCTGGAAGGAGAAAGCTTAACTTCCCACCTGTCCTTCCTCCGCTTGAAAATAGGAGTTCTCAGCATACTGGGAGCCTTCGGCCTTCCTTTGCTGCTTTGAGAAAGATCTGTGATACAGATCAATATAACGTGATGAAACTGTATGGACACTAGGCCGTAACTCGCCTGGGTCAGAACAGGACAAGGTGCCACAGGCCCAGCAGGCACTCGGCTTGACCTGTGTGCCCAGGAGCCCCTTCACTCAGACAAGCAAGCTGCAGGCTGCTCCCTGGAACTGGGCATGGTTGGAAAATACTCACACAACCCCTTAGAAATGCAAGGTGCTGTTGTAAAGAACTGCCGAAGAGCTCGGGATATGGGTGGGAGACACAATGGAAGGTGACTGAGGTGGCCATCGCCCTGCCCTTGGCCCCTTTGGAGCTCATTAGCAGTTCATTATCCGATAACAGGGAGGGCCAACACCAGGACAAGCACTTGGCTAGTTGTGAATCAAAATTATTTCTGTGAGGAGCCTTGAATAGGGGGCAGGAGCAAGACACAGCACAGGTATAGATAAGATGGGATCTCTTCACACAGCCTGATGAAGCACCCGGTGCATCTCCGAAAGTAGCCTCAGGAAGGGACCTGTATCTAAGATACTGGCTGAAGAGGCTGATGGCCCTGAGCAGACGTGTTGTCCCCTATTGCTGCTATGCTGAAGTCTGTCTCCCAGGGGAACCGTTCCTCATAACAATGCAAAACACCTCATGATCACCAGAAACAACTAAGAGGGCAAAAACCACTTGAACCATGCAGATCATCTGCGATGATAGTTTTGAGAGCGTAACTAGGGCAGAGACAATTGGCCAGATTGGAAGACACATCCTGGAGCACCAACATATGTCTAGTGCTAGGCCAACTGGCTAAGCACAAGGCTGCTTGGAGGTCTTCCAGCTCACAGGCACCCCTGTGTCTGGGGTAGGCACCCTAGCTGATGATGCCAAGACTATTGTTTAGGTTCTGGAGAGGATGTTGTTGCAAATCCGTCTCCCAGTCTCACCACTTATTTTCGTTCTGAGTTGCAGTAATAAGTCTGAGACGTTACCAGTGGGTAGTCTAACAATTCTGTGGGTCATTATGCAGAGCCCCACCCAGGCTGCAAGATCTCAGACCTTGACAGCTCTGCGACAGAAATACTGGCTTTGTGTCTGCGTGGGTGCAGGGAATGTTTGTGTATCAGGTAGGACCTTCTTCATTTGTAGCTAAAGCCAAGGTTAGCATTTTAAAGCCATGAGAAAACACTGAAGCTGGCAGCAAGGATGGAGATTTCCTAGTAGTATAGAAGATACCGTGCTTTAAATCAGTGCAAGCTTTGTTAGGTCTCTGTTGCCTCTTTCAGTGGGGAAAGGGAGCCTATGGTGCTCTGCATGGCAGGCCCCAAGCAAGCTACAATAGCTCTTTCCTCTTGTTCCTTGTGGCCCAGTAAGCATGAGGGCATCACAGCCGAGGGAAGGGTGAGTCCGGAAAACAAGAGCCAACCCACCAGAAGCTGTAGGAGCAGCAAAACTAAGCTGACTCCTATAGAGCTGCTGCTCTCTCTCAGGTTTAAAGGGAGAAGTCCCAGAGAGATGCAATTTGGGAAGAGCCTTTGTAGCATGGGTGACTCAAAGTATGACCTACGCAAGGGAATAGTAGCTCTGTTTGCTGCAGGAATGGATGCCTTGCTGGAATAACCACCATCCTCACCTAAGGGATTTTTACAGCTACACAGTCTAGGCCAGGATCGTTCAGGGTGGGCTTGGCTCTGGTGGGATGGTGACATCCAGGTCTACATGCTGACAACCAGGCATCCCAGACCATAGTGCTTCCATGCTAGCGTACCAGCAAGAGGCAGGAGGTCTACAGGCATCTTCAACAGCCCAGAGCAGGACAAATCCCAGCACCTCCTGGATGCCATCTGGGAAGTGCTCCTGAAGGATGGCAGTGCTTGGTTATCACCCTGTACACTGGGGCAAACTAGACACAGAAAGGGGGCAAGGCACAGCACATTGCAGACTTTTCCTAAATGCTTTTGAGGGCTGCAATGATGGACCAAAGTCCATCTGGAGATGCTGTTTCCTGCACCTGGAAGAGGGACATCCAAAAAAACTGGGCCTATATACCTCAGATCCTCAGGTGAGAGCCCACAAAAGGCTGTTTTAGTAATACTTATGGTACTCCATGCTGAAAAAGTTGCAGCTGTTGGTCCTTAGAGAGGGCAGTTGTCCTAAGCCAGGGTTAGAAGTCAGCCCTGCATGGCGGGTGACTTTTAAACTTGGGTATAGACTAGGTCTCTGTGGACGGACAGACAGACTGCTGGCTGATTGCAGTGCTAGACAGAGAGACCACCCGTATGGGCAGGCCTGTGTTTCCGTTAGGTCAGACCCAGCAGAATTAATGTGCTCTGCATAGAGCTTCACACTGCCAGGCTACCAGCTACACTGCTTATCAGGCTAGAGGCTCCACGAGGGCCAGCACAGGAGGTGACAGTGCATGGCACTGCGCCTGCATGCAGGCAAGGGCCACACATGGGTCAGCCTGCCCGTTGTTGGAGCAGAGCCTGGGTGACTTCCACAGCAGAGCAGGGCTGAGAGCTGTGCTGCTACGTGGCAACTTGGACTCGTGAGGCAGGGCCAGCCGTGTCGCAAGGAAGACTCCATGTCCCCCAGTGATTCCATCAGCCCACAAACCAATCCCCCTGTGCACGAGCCCCCACTGAGTGCGGGCTGCTGCCCTGGGGTGGATGCCAGCGCGCTGAGGGCTGCCCCCAGAACCAGGCTCTCCCCTGAGACTGCCTGGGATCCCGCTGCGGGACACGGTGCCTTGGCAGGAGCTCAACCTGTTTTGGAGCCAAAGGTCAAGTATTTTCATTCTTTATTTTACAAAAATAAACCAGTTTTGCCCTGGTACCCTCTGGCCCCTGGAATTCCCTTCCGCCCTCTTGCCCTTCCTGTCGCTGGAGCTGCCGCTGCCGCGCGCCCCGTGGCGCTCGCAGGGAGGCCGCCCGTCCCGCCCACGCTCCTGCAAGTGTCCCAACACCAGCTCCAGGGAAGGGGCTTGCTGCCCTCTGGCGAATGCCTCTTCCTTGCCAGGATCCAAGCTGGAAACTGCCCAAAGATGCCTCCTGGGGGCTCTGCCGTTTCTGGACAGGGGACAAGTCCTAGACGTGCGGCTCAGAGCATGCACTTTGAGAAGGGGCGTCTGTCTGTCCCCCTCCCTTGGGTGAAAGAGCGAGCCCCACGCGGCGGCTGTGGCCACTTGCAGAGCCCATGGGCTGTGTGTCCGGCGGCGGCTCAGTGCTGGAAGCGCGGGGAGCTGATGTGGGGCTGGTGAAAGGAGTGTGTGGCGTAGAGCACCTCCGGGGGCGGCGGCGGCGCCGCGGCCAGGATGGAGCAGAGCGGTTCGTGGGAGCTCAGCATTGAGGTGAAGTGCTTCATCTCCTCCGTGAGCTGCTTGATCTCCCGGCGCAGCGCTGCGTTCTGCCTCTCCAGGTCCTCGCTCTCCTGGGGAGACAAAACCGGCAGGGCCTTCCTGAGCACGGAGCCACCAGCATGAGCTGGGGATGTGGGCAGGGGACAAAATTGTGCAGAGCTGACCAGGTGAGATGGGGCAGCCCTAGGGTGCTGGGTGGCACCCAGCTATGTTGCAGTGCATAGGGGTAAGACGTAAGAGTAACCAAGTCCATGTGTCTCCCTGCATGAGGACACCACAGCGCAAAAGGTCGGGCCTTTTCTCATCTTCCTACGCTTCCCATCTTCACTGGGGAGCTGCTGACTGTACCCTAACACGAATGCAGCGCATGTGGACAGGCAGGTGCCAGCGGCACGGGGCTGGATGGACAGGGAAGGTGATGAGATCTGCGCCGGGCCGGCGCATGGGCCGCGCTCCATCGCGACGCTGCTTCCCGCGCGTGGGTTCCTGGAGAGCCCATGAGGAGTCATGGCCCACGAGGAGCTACGGCCTGCAAGGAGCCACGGCCAGCGAGGAGCAATGACTCGCGAGGAGCCGTGGCCGGCGAGGAGCCGTGGCCGCGCTGCGGTCGCGCTCGCGGCGCCCGGGCAGCCTGCGGGGCTGGCGCGGCAGCGGGAAGAGCCGCAGCGCGGAGCTGGGGACGCCTCCCTGGCGGGCGCCTCGGTGCCCCGCAGAGTTTCCAGAATGACATGTTTCCGGTAAATTCGGAGCGGAGCGGCGCCTGGGCAAACCCCCCTCCCCCGGGCGGCCGGCCGGCGGCGAGGAGCGCGTGCGGCGCTCGGGCCCGGCGGCGCCCGCTTACGAGAAGTGCCTGCGGCGGCGCCTTCCCGCCCAGGCTTTCTCAGCTGCCTCTCACGCACGCGGGCGCCTCGCGGGCCGCTTCCCGCGGCCGCCCGCCGGGGGCGGGGGGGCTCAATAACCGCCGCCTTTAACCAGAAAACCACCTGCCACAGGAAACCTGTCATTGCCCTGGAAAGAAAAGACTCACTGCTTCCTGCTAGCAGCCGGGGAAACCAGCTAAACAGTGCGAGTGTGCAGGGAGAGACGCCTGAGTCAGAAGAAAAGAGAAACTGAGGCCTCAGAAGAACAGAATTATTACTGGTATTAATAATAACAACAAAGGGATTAATAAAGATGTTTAGCCTGGTCCTAAAGATCCTGAGCAAATCACAGCCCTCGCTATCCCCGCTGCTCCCAAGCTGCAGCCTGGAGCATCCCGCGCGGGTGGAGCGGTGCTGCTTGCGCCGGGCAGGACCCTGCGCAGGCTGCAGAGGCAGACGGTGGCAGTCCAGGCAAGATGACCAAAGCGAGGCACAGCTTCGAGGTCCCGAAAGCCCCTTCTTCCTCTGGCCATCCAAGTTGTACCCCGTGGTACTCCTGCCGCCCCTCAAAGCAGAGCCTTAGCCCCTCAGCCTGGCACCCGGGTCACACTGAGCGTCCAGAGGAGGCTGCTCTATGTGCTGGGGCACCTCGCGCACCCACTGTTTACAGCAGCTATCACCCAAGGACCTTGCAGAGGAAATCAGCATCTTTCAGACCTGACAAAATGCTTTGGAAGACATGACCAATATTTATCTCAGGAGCTGATGGGAATCACCAAGGGGCTGGGAAGCCCCAACCTCCTAGTGACTCATTCCCCTCAAAACAAAAACGACAAAGTCCTGGGGCAGGTAGAGCTGCCGTGTCCTTTCACACCAACAGCAGCCCAAGTTGAGCCCCACTTCTTGAGCAAAACTACATCAGAGAGAGAGATGTGGTTCATTCAGTGCTGAGCTAACTGGGCACACAGGGAATGAACCCAAGAGAAGCCACCAAGAAGGTCACCATGAAAAAAAAAATAGAAAAATTCGATGTACATCCTCCACGTGTCCATCTGCTTCTGCATCCTCTAGCTGTCTCCCTGCCTGCGAGCATCCTCTCTTCATCCTGCAAGATGGACCTGAGACGCGCTGCTGTTGTGCTGTGTTTGTTAGATGTGGGGCAGGCAACGTGTCGTTGGTACCACTGTCAGCTGAGCAGCAGTAACCTCCTAAGTAGCTTGTTGTCTGCCCTAACAAGAACTGCCCATTTCTTCTTGGTGTGCAGCTATTAAGGATTTTCTTGGGGGAATATCAGAGCTCATGTTCGTTCACCTCAAGGATTGTCTTACAGAGAGCATCAGCACCAAGGAAGGGGTATCTCCTTCTCTGGAGATCTTCAAACCCACCTGGATGTGACCCTATGCCACGTGCTCTAGGTGTCCCTGCTTGAGCAGGGGGATTGAATTAGATCTAGAAGTTGGTCCCTTCCAACCCGAACCATTCTGTGATTCTGTGATCTTTTTCATCCCTCTCAGACACGGTCACCCAGAGCCACAACTGCTGACAGACCTAACACAATCAGCCTAGAGCCGTGTCATCCCAAGACGGATAATAAGTTAGTGATAAAGACTAAAAGACAGTTCTAAGCAAGGACTGAGGGCACTACACAGCAAGGAAGATCCAAAGGAAGCTTCTCAAAAATTCTCCCCAAAAGTAGGGATTTATGGGAGGGTCAAGAACGCTAAATCAAAGGATAGTTTCTTGACCACAACCCTGACTATTTTCAAAGCGCAGCCAGCACAGCCCACTGCAGGCTGCACCCTCCAGATCACCACTAGCCAGGTACACGTGGGATTGCACTTACCGAAAATGCAAAGGGGCCCCGTGCCGTGCTCTGATACTGTCCACAAAATGCTGTCCAAACACACACAACTAAAAATCACCATCCTTCCCCAAAAACAGACACTTAATTTTTCAGTGACACTAGTTAAGCCTTGAGAGGAAACTTATGTGTCAGCAAAAGCAAAGGATTTCACTGAGGAGCTGCTGAAGGCAAGTGTATTTGGGCGACTGAATGGCCAGATCCTGCCTTTGACTGGGCTCTGTGCTCTAGCTGCTGCTAGTGCTGACTTTGACATCCTGCCTTGGTCCCTGCTTTTCCTGTCCTGTGTAAATTGAGCTCAGTACTGAGGATGGAGAAAGGATGGGAGTGCTCACCAAGTGCAGCGTGTCCGCCTTCTGGGTCTGCCTCAGGCGGCTCTTCTGGGCAGCAATGCGGTTCTTCTCCCGCCTCTGGACTTTCCTCATGTCATCAGAAGAGTCCTAGAGAAACACAAGGCATAGAAATGATGGGATGCCCCCTCACTCCCCTTGCAACAACGGGGATGAAGGACTGGGAGAGGTGGGAAGGGGAGAGAGAAGAGCAGCCCCAAAGGAACATCCTTGAAGCACAGGACATGGGACACAACTCCTGAGCATCAGGGTAAAGCCCTGTCCCAGGCAGGTGTGATGCTCTCAGCATCCCTGTTGCCAGGAGGGGCATCTCTGATACCCTGATTCTCCTGATATAGCAGGAAAGAGATGACTGTCCCTGTACCAGGATACAGATGTGGGCTATGGCTTGAGGAAACGTGATAAGACTGCATCCCACACTGGCAATATAAACAACTTCTACAGTTACACTATTCCCCCATAATGCCCATTATTCTTGCTCTTCTCGGGAGTCCCTCAGTAGCAATATCTTTGTCTAACATGCTGAGTGCAATACTCCAGGCCCTTTGGGCAGAGCAGCTCACACTTCTCCCTGCTCAAGGTCACGAGCTTCACACAGCAGCAGTTCCCTGCTCAGATCTGGCCCTTCTGCCGCCTTCTGACAGTTAAAACCGTCATTCAGACTCTTTCATCTTCTATTTTCACATTGTCACTGTCTCTTTTGTGGACTGCCTAACATTCACACCACCTCTCCCCCACAGGACTATGAAATTCAGCCACAAGAGTTATCTTCCCAGCCCATCAGTCTGTGCACATCCTCTTCCCCCCGCCACCCCGCCCAAGAGCTTTTCTTTTCTTTGAACTTAACCGTTTTATCCTTCCCTTCAGTGCTTCAGCTATGGCAGCTCCCAAGTCCCGCATCAGATCTGATCCTTATCCTTTAGCAGTTTCCCTGCTTAATCCCCTTCTCTGCCTGGGTGCTTCTCATCCAGGAACAACCTCATAATTTGTCTTGATTGTTCCTGGGATTTATGGGCAAAAGATGCTTGCCTGTTTCCAGCTATAGCCAGAGAGCAAATGATAAATACAATGAAGCTCAGCCAGGAGATGGAAACACCTTGGACATGTGTGAGGATCTGTCAGCAGAAAACCTACCATTAAGGTGCTCCCTGCAACAATAGCAAAGCTCTGTCCAGCACTACTCTGAGAGGAAAAGCTGAGGCTGAGCAGAGGAAGAGCAGGTCAAAAGTGCCAGGGCTTTTCCTGCTCCCTGGATGATGCCTGGGGCAGCGGGAGGTCCTCAGGTTGCCCCGAGCCCTCCAGGTCTGTGAGTTGAGTGCTGGGCTCTCCGCGCGGCTCCGGCTCTCTCACGGTGCCTTCCTACCTGCTGGCTCTCGGACGGGCACTGCACAGCCCACAGCGTCCAGGGTCCTGGCACCCCAGGCACGGCCCCAGCTCGTGGGCTGTATTTCTGCCCCTCTCTTGTGCGCGGCAGCCCCAGCTGCTGCCCCAGGCTTGCTGCCCGGCCCGGCGTCCCTCTCACCCAACACCCGTTCCTAGAAAGCCCTGCTGTGCTGTGCTGTGCTGGGACAACGCCAGCGACGGACGCCCGTCTCTCACCCTTCCTGCTGACCACACGTGGCCCCTGCCCATCCGTGAGGGTCACTGGGGAGCAGGAGAGCTGTGAGGGACCCCCCTTACCTGCTTGCTGGGAGGGGGTGACTGGCTGAAGCTGCTGGAGTCGCTGCTGTCGGAGCTGTGGGGCATAGCTCTGCCTCCCGGGGCCGCTCTGGCTTCCTTTACGCCCCTAGAGCGCTTGGTTTCTTTTATTTTTGCTTTTTTGTTTTTCTCCCTTGCCCTTCTGTGTGTCCTCTGAGATGGGCCCCTGCCTCCCTGCTCTTGTCCTCTCCTGGGGCACGTTGTCCTTCTTCCCTCTCTGTCACTTTCTCTGCCTCTCCTCTCTGAGCCCCTGCACCTTCCCTTTAGGTCTCGGCCTCCTGTGGTTTCTCAGAACCTACGGGATGTAAGCTGAAAGTCACGTGGCCGGAAACTTTGAGATGAAGAAGAAAAGTTACAGAAGAAGAAGAAAGAAAAAAAAAAAGAAGAGAGAAAAAAAGCACATCTGGGAAAAACGAGCTTCAAAATAGCCTGAAAAACCCCCGAAAAATACCTTCAGGCGGTTTGAAAAACAGCAAGATGGGTTTCCTCTGAGACAAACATCAGCGATGTAAAGGAAGAAAAGCCCCAGCTCTGGCTGTGAAATTTGGACCCTCAAAGGAGGGCGAGTGCGGAGGAGGCGGCGCTGGGAGCCCCCAGAAATTCCAGCGGCAGGAGGAGCGGAGCGGCGCGCGGTACCCGCGACGCGCAGGCCGGGCAGCGCAGGCCCCAGCGGCCTGGGCTACCTGTGCCTGGCCACGGAAATTCCCAGGCAGCCTCCCACGTCCGTCCAAGCCTCCCACGTCCATCCCACCGCCCTCGATGCCGCTGTGGCAAGTCCTGGGGATGAGGCCAGCACCTTTGGCAGGTCCCACGCAAAAGCCGTTTGTGCAAATGGCTCGTGGATGTGCTCTGAGAAACCTGTCCTGTCCAAAAAGAAAGATGGGCTCGTAGGAGGGGCTGGTTTGAGTAGAAGCATCATTTTCTACAGGACCAAGCTCCTTAACTCTTTGAAGCATGAATCAATACCTCAGCACCGGTCCATAAGGGGAATACGATCATCCCTGGCACCTGGGAAGCAAAGTAAAGGGATAGTGATGCTGCAGACCCCGCAGGAAACCCTGAGACCTCATTGTCCCTGCACACCATGTGGGCTCAGTGTCACCCCAGGGAACTGAAGCTGTCACATGTGGGTCCAGGCCCCCTCTCTGCTCTCTCCAGCCCCTTCTGGTACAAGGGGACATGAGACAGCCCCGGGGGAGACAGGAATACTGTGGCGTGTTGGGGAGGGGGTGGCCGTGCTGTTCTCCCTCTGCTCATCTTGCGGAGCAGCCCCAGGGCAGGAGCTGGTTTGTATCCCTTGTTGGTCCCCCAGGCCTTGCCTGCCGGGACCATTTCCATCCTCAGTATGGGCCTCGTTAATCTGAGGCCTGGAAAACAGCCACTGGGTCACCCTGCAGCCCAGGCTGGAGGGTCTGGAGTTGACTGTGCAGGGGCCAAGGGGCTGCCGTAGACCATGGGCACTTTGTCTTCTCATCTGCTCCCACCATCAGAACCAGGGGAAGGAACAGGTCCACGCACCAACAGGGCAACGTCTTCATCCTGCCTTCATCCTGCCTCTTCCTCTGCTCCTGTGCTACTCTCTGTAACCCATGTCCAACTATCTTTTCTCATACATCTTCACCCCATTTGCTTTCCCGTTCTTCCTCTGTGTTGTTGCCCCAGTTCTTCCATGTTTCCAGCCTGTGTGCACTCCTCCCCTCTGTCAGCACACAGTAAAGGCAGCACGGACGAGCCAGGAAGGATGCGGCTCTGCTGGGACAGTCAAGTGGGAAGTGGTGAAGCGGGGCTGGATGTCCAGCCCTTTGCCCTTCCTGGCGCTGTGGGGCTGGCGGGAGGTCAGTGGAGCTGGAGGTGTCAGGGCGTAGGGCTGAGGAGCCGCAGCTCTCGCCCATCGTGGCTCTGCTCTCAAGCTGTGGACAGCAGCACACTTCAGGGTGGCCAGATTCTTCTATGTGCCATGAAAAGCAGATAAAGAAACTGGTAGGAGCCATTGAACTCACTTCTACGGAAAGCAGCAATCCCAGTTCCCATGTTATCCCGTGCACTCCTGCGCAGGGATATGAAAAGCCAGGCCGCAGCTCCTGTATGCCAAGCCGTGCTTCCCATGCTTGGCCATGGAGCTGGTGAGGCTCCGTGGTGCCAGGCACGGCAAGAGGCGCCCGGCAGCAGGGGGATGAGTCGCGGTCACTCCTCGAGGAGAAGGTTCTGGGCGCTCTGGGCATGCAGCCATATCACAGTGCAGGTATTGCGAGCCGTGGTGCCCGTGCTTGGTGCATGGTGCAGGCCTGTGTGGGCATTCCTGGCATTTCTTACCTGCTTTGTCGCTCAGAGGGATGACACGGGAACAGCGCCAAAAGGAAGAGCCGTGTGTGGCTAAGGGCTTGCCGCCCGGGGAAGTTGCCTGGCCTCGTTGCAGTTGCATATCTGTTGGCTTTTATATATGCCCATCTATTTCCCTTTTCAGAAATGTCCTGCGGCACTGGCCCAGTGCCCTTGACTATCATTGGAGCACTTCACTGCCTTGAATGTGTTTATTTTCAGAGTGTGCAGCAGGGCAACACGAGGAGCCTCCGCAGAGGAGGAAGCGCAGCCCTCACTCTCAAATGTGGCTCCGGGGCTTTGCTTGCTCAGCACGAGACATCCTGAGGGACCCCGTTTCCTGGAAGCACTGCCACTCACAGCCACCGGGGCCCTTCGAAGCGTGTCTGGCTCCACGAACGCAGCAACCAAAGTCACGAGTGCCAACAGGGCCTGGAGAGCTTGCCCAAGGCACCACAGGAAGCCCACGCACGGCCCAGCGTTGGGAAGCCCACGCCAAGGCTGACGGTTGGGGTCAGGCCCCTCAGGCAGCCGAACTGGGAGCCGCCGGTTCCCTCGCTGCACTGCTGCACTTCCTCTGCACTCCTTCACCCCGAGCAGCGCTTCCTTTCCAGGAAGCAGCCCGTTGGATTCCCACCGGCCCGGAGAAGGCCGCACTGTCGCGCCACGAGCACAGCTTGCCCGGGCCCCAGGGTGCTCCTCTAGCACCAGCATGGGCCCGAGCAGCCCCACGGGTCCCTGTGCAGAGCGCTGCACGTTCTGCTTGCTCAGGGTGGGACTGAGAGCGCTGCTTCCCCAGGGAGATGCGTCTGTGCTCCCTCGTAGGGTGAGGAAGCTGAATTCCTGGCCTACTTGGCAAAGCAGCAGCCAGAGGGAGGCACGCAGTGCTTCTGCAGCACATGGAAAAGCTTGGTGTAGGGGCTGGACCATGCAAACTGGGCCAGAATCTTCCTATGGGCAAAGCTTATTCACAAGAGAAAAGCCTTGAGCCACCCCACAGCCTGCCATTAGCTGGGCTTTAGTAACAGCTTGGGACAGACTGAAAAACCTCAGGAAAGAGCAAGAGTGCAAGGGAGGGTTCAGGCACTTGGCCCTGCTGCCAGCAGTCCCCACCCCACCGAGATCCAGGTGCCACCACCCCGGGAAACGTTCGATGTTACCCCAGGTCGGCTGTTGCAGGACACGGGCAGCGAGTGCCCCACGCAGGGCCAGAGACACCCATCGGGGCTGCCTTCAGGCTGCTGCTGGGGAGCCGAGTGCTGCGGGCACCAAATGGGGCAGGTATCCTGCCATGTGCTGGTCCCCTTGCTTTCTGCCCTGCTGCATGTAGGAGGTGGCCCAGAAGAGCTGTCCAGCCCAGCTGTGACACTCGGCACCAGCAGGACTGTCCCCTGCTCCCCTAACAAGGCAGGGAACCTCACAAGGTTCAACCTCACAACTTCATCCTCCTTCTCTCTGCGCTTTACTTAGGTGACTCACTTTATATTGACTGTGAATAACATCCCTTGGCTTTCTGTTTGGGCTCACCTAGATGTCTTGATCTTAAGCACAGCAGCTGTGAAGCCATTAGCAGGGGCACCGATGAACGCACAGCGAGGGTGAGGTTACCGCTGGAGCCGCATGTCCACAGGGCTGTGACGCTTCTCGGAGGTCCTTGGGGAGGGATGATGCTCAGCAGCTCCGCGCCGGTCCTGTATGAAGAGCAGGGACGCCCCCGGGGACCTCAGCACTTCCAGCGTTTCCAGCTCGGGCAGCCGCAGGGCCTGGGGAGGCCGGAGTTAGAGAGATCATGGTTCAGATCACGGATCAGAGGCTGCTGGAGACGTGGTCTGAGAGCAGCGGGACACAAGGCAGCAGGAACAAATGCAAATGGAGAATAAAGTGACACATACCCGCTAGAAGCGAGGAATAACCAGCTCGGCAGCAGAAGCTGCAGGGCATCATTAAGCTCAAGTGTCACCCCACACGGAGCTGTTGTGGTGGGGCTGGCACCCCCCGGCCATGCTGGAGATGCTGCCCTGTGTCACCTGTGCTGGGGCTGGGCCCATGAGTGAGCAAGTCCAGAGAAAAACAACACAAAGGATTAATCCGCAAAAATCTTCCACTGGGAGGAAAGAGTGAAAAAAATGGGTATATTTTACCCTCAAAGGAGAAGTCTTGGGGGCAGGAAGGCAGTGGGGAGGAAGCAACGGGCAGAGCAGTCAGCGCACACCCCATGGTGCAGGATAAAGGGCGCTCGGGCCAAAGCACTGCAGGCCAGACCCGGGTCAGGGCTGGAGCAGGCTGAGCTTGGGGAGGCTTTGGCACAGGCTGGACAGCAAAGCTATTCAATACCCTTCAGGCAAGTGGCTGGAAACAAAGCTCTGTCAGAAATGTTGAGGGTTTAATCCTGCCTTGGTAGGATGGGTGAAAGCTAAGACGGGTTTCCAGGCTTTAAAGAAAGAAGCTAAAAACCAGAAAGTCCCCAGGGCCTGAGAGCACAAGGGGCTTAGCTGCAGCCAGCGCCTTGGCCTCAGAAGCCCAGGAAGGTCTCTACTCTAATCCCACCCATGTAAACGACTTTCTGAGGACAGGTGATGGGAACAGCTCCTGCATAAACCCACTGCCCCAGACCTCTCACCCACTGCAGACCCAAAGCAGCAGCACGGACCTCTGCCTCTCACCCCATCCACAGGTTCCTTCTCTGCATGAGCTTTTAAAGACTAGTGCTATTTAAAAATCCACCTAAG